CATTGTACAGTGGCATTAAGTGCCGTAATGTGCACCTCTGACTACCCCTTCGGGGATAAAAAGGCGTGATGTTATGTTAAAAATAGCAACTACATTCTTCATTTCACAAAACACACCATAAAATATAATCAGAACTAAAACTATCCCCTGTGTCAAGTAACTGCCTACCTCTGACCCTTTATTGACATTGAAAATGTTGGGCTTTTTCATAATTGCGGTTCGAAGTGAGATATTTATGGTAAGCGAGAATGGGTTCCATTGTCTTCCTCCTTAAGGGATTTGGGTAGGAATATCAATATATCACATGCATAAACATGTACGGATATAGCCGCTGAATCAGTAAAAGCAAATAAATGTATCGAGCTCTTATTTTGCGCTCCTACAGTAACAGGGTGATTCGGTTGCCTTATTGTTCGCGTATTCATGACATTAATGGGTCCTTATCCCAGCAAGGACGTAAGTAAAATAAAAAGTTAAGGGCCAATACTTTAAGTTCTAGTTTTTAATTTGAAAAGATCATTTGAATTTAATTTAAATGGAAGGTACGTATTTTCCGTGAGTTTAACAAAATATAGTTAAGACTGCACCTATTGTTATATCAAATCAAAACTACATCTCTTGAATTCAATATTTACATGATGAAGTTTACTGCATTTTCATCTTACTCAACCGATATCCTTTCTTCACTTCGATTTTCTCGATCTCTTTACTCGCATGGTCCCCGAGAGAAATCCTTGGAAAGCCACTATGTTTGCTGTCAGAACGTATTGCGAAAATACCGAGAATATCCCTTGGTTTCTTCTCGAAATTTCTACGTACATTTTGAGGAAAAAACAAATCGTAACGCACTATTCGCTTTGGTTTAAATGACGTCCCTAATACTTGTTTATTTTTATAGGATATTATAAAGGAAATGTTGGCTATTTGCGTTCAAACGTTATCAGGTCAACCGTGACTTTCTCCCTTTTCTACAAAACAGGTCAGTTTGTACCATGATCCTGTGAAAAGTCGACCTAAGTGATATTTCGGCGACTGTCCCAGATATTCAAATGTTTGTTCCCGTTTATGCTAAGCTTAGTTAAGTTTCATTGTCCAAAGATTTATCTTTATGATTTTATCTTTTATTTGTGAAGTAATTTTTGCACAAGGACCCGACAACAATAATAATATTAAACGGCTCAAAATTAGCTTTTTTTACGTTGCCCCGCACTAGGATTTTCTCCTGTGTCCTTGGTGCGTTTACAAACACAAAAGTTCACGTACACATGACACCCAGACCCGAAACAATAATTTGTTGATCACACATAGAGCTGCTCCGCTCCGTTCGTTCATTGCTGAAAATTCTGATTTTATATTAACTCTATAATATTTTTATTTCTTTTAACGCTGTTAATAAGGAAAACTATCTGGACACCTAAATTCAAAACACCACAAAGAAAAGAACCGTTAGTCAAACTAAATACTACCTGAAATTAAATATGTTGTCTACAAAATATTTCATTTCAGGTAGTATTTAGTTTGGCAACGTATCGCGGGTTCGATTACCGCACGGAGCAACTCTATATGTGTAATCCACAGATCCACAGATCCACAGATTGTTGTTCCAGGTCTGGGTGTCATGTGTTTGTGAACTTGTATGTTTGTAAATGCACCCACGATAGAAGGGAAAATCCTAGAGTGTGGCAAAAAAAAACATTAAACAATTATGTTTTTATAATAACTATCGTGAGACATACTAAATTAACTATAATCGTATTTCCTTGTAAATATTGTTATTGACAGAGCACCTGTATTTTCACATGAGGAGACGTAAATAACCCTTATTGAAGAGAAATCATTGAATATATTTATTTTCTTATCTATTTGCGTATTTTTATAGGTACTTTTTTAGAACCTCGCATACAGTATTTGGTTTAATTTCCTGAAGAAGATAAACATCATGGCGGATTTCCAGGAAGAGAAAGTAGATATGAACACCTATTTTTCGAATTTAATCTAAACCTATATTCCTATTTTAACCTGTACGTGTTTTCTATCATCCATGTTTGTTACTTCCATGAAATTGTGGGCTATTTAAGCGTTCAAATTTATCTAAAGCTGTATATATTTATTGATGCTTAGTTTAATGAAAACCAGTACCTAGTATACTTTATTTTCATATAGTGTACATGTACATACTGCATAATAAGTATACCGGGTACCTTCTACTATATCACTACATAGTCTAAAACAAAGTCGCTGTCCGCCGTCTGTCTATCCCAATGTATGCTTAGATCTTTAAAACTATGCAACTGATTTTGATGCGGATTTTTTTATAGATAGAGTGATTCTTAACTCTTTGAGTACCGTCATTATAGACACAATTAAAGAACAAGCAGCAGCGGGTTGTAGTCACTGGTGACTTTGCGGTGTTTGACAGTTTAAGGAAGGTTTATATGTACATGCATATTGCACCCGTGCGAATCCGGGGCGGGTCGCTACTTCCACAATAATTTTAAGTCAAATTTACCAAAAAGTTTGATAAAGATGTTTAAGAACGAATCAAATTGTATTTAGTGGCCTCACTAGCAACCACTTCCCCCAAATCTCAATGTAACTTATTTATAGACAACAAATTCAAAATAAGTAGCTTTTGTATATTTTTGCCTACAAAATACAAGCACAACAATGTATTAGGAGAGCAACGAACACAATGGAAACATCTTTTACTGTATTTTTTTTCTAAAACAACAAAAGGAGTTATCGAGATTAACTCGGAAGAAACAAGGAATTCATTTGATACGATTACCTCATACTGAGATATCCTCCTTTAGAAAGTTTTGAAAGTTTCTTTCATTTTTTATATGGCGTACATTCAATCTTATCGTTCCTAAGTTTAATCAGATGCGTGAGAATAATGTTTGCTATTTGTCAACGTCGTCGTGGGAGACGCCACGGTTTTTTAGCATGTCTGCCTCAACACGCGTACCGTTTAAGAAGCGATTATTTAAACGGTCTATTGTTTTTATTGCTAGACGATTAATTATAGTGATCATTATTGAAAATACTTTTTTTATATTTGATGCGCCGACGTTTGACTATTATCTTGCCTAGTGGTAAGCGATGATGATTGTTATATTGTTATAAATGTTTACAATGTAATAAGATTAACTTTTTGACAGTAAATTCTGTTAGACTACTTCTACATTATAGAGATGATTATATTATTTAACTCAATTATTGTCACTAGATTCCATTTTCATATTTATTATAAAAGTTGCTGTGCCTGCGACTTCGTCCCCGTGGAATACTTAGTGATTCACAGCTCCTTCCTTAAAGGTGATAGCGTAATAATATGTGGCTTATATCTTGACCCGACTTGTTAGTAACAGTCATGTAAAATTTGAAATAAATCCATGTAGAACTTTTTAAGTTTAGCCCGGACATACATAACAATTAACAACTACAGACAAAAATTTTAAAAGCTATATTTTTGGCTTTGATATCGATTGTAGATCACACCCCAAGCATTACCTATTTAAAAAAATATACAATGGTCAAAAAACTGTCCAATGGATAGAAAACAACCAGAAAATACAATCATAGGAAAAGCTTTCCTATAAAAAACTGTCCAATGGATAGAAAACAACCAGAAAATACAATCATAGGAAAAGCTTTCCTATAAAAAACTGTCCAATGGACAGAAAACAACCAGAAAATACAATCATAGGAAAAGCTTTCCTACGATTGTACATATTATATATCGTCCCTTAGCTTACAACACCGCTTAAGTCATTTTTACCAACTTTACAGGAGACGAAAAAAACTGTCTAATTTAAATAATCTGTGTTTTTTTTCTATTGCTACTTAGTACATACTCTAGTTAGCGGTTAAGAAATAATTATTTATACTTATTTTAACGATTTACTTTATTTTAACTTTTATTTTATGACTTGAGCGGTGTTGACGGATATTTTATTAGATTTAGGCGGTGTTGTTTGTGAAAATGTTAGGGATTAAGGTATTAAAAGATGATTTGCAAATAAAAACTTTAATTAAAAAATATTTCAAGAAAATTAACACTCTTTATCTTATCTTTAAAAGGTATCTTATCTTAAATCTTAGGAATCACATTGTTGAGATCAATTGCTTAAAGTTATTTAGTAATACAGAAACCTCTAGTTGGAACGTAAATGAAATAATATTTTTTTTATATTAATAGGTAAATATTTTAAATATTAATCTGAGTTTAATAAACTCCAAAGAAATAACATAATTATAATACAAATAATAAAAAATACTCAAAATTATTTAGTCTTTAGTTTAGTTGCAGTCTTTAGTGATTGCTGTGTGGAAGGTCATCATAAAAAGAATGGCAATTAGATGGCAATACACTTTTTAGGTCTTGCAAATCCTGATACTTCCGCTTTGTAATTGGTATTCTAGCTGCGTACAATTTCTGCAAGCTATTTATTTGTTTAATGCTGTTAATTGGCGTGGGGCGATGTGGTAACGGGTGAAGATCGTCATCAAAACTAACTTTATACCAAATTGTGCCATTTGGTCTGTATTCTAGCATACGTAAATCTGTGACGACAGGGTCACCTGCTTTTTTACCAGGTCTTATAGATTTATAAATTAATTCTTTCGAAAAGTCTGTAAAAAAACTATAGTCTAAATAACGAGCTTCGTAGGGCATAGGATCACTCCTAGCAGTTTTACTTATAGCCATGTATTGATGTGGAAGGTAAATTTCTTTACCTTTTAATTTACACTCTATGGCACTATGTACCGAATCACATTCCATGTGAGTATGGCCTTTTTCCAGGTACTTTTGAGTAATCAAAATATTTTTTTCAATCGCTAAACGTAATAAAGCATTGCTTAAGGTAACATTGCGATTTTGAGCACAACAACCATCGGAATATAAAACCACAGGCAATAATTTTATACTCAAAACCTTCTCTAGATGGTCTACTAAGCATGAAGCAAAAACAGAGGCTTCAAGCGTACTATTTGACTCATCAAACCAATAACACATTACTTCCTTAGTTGCTATATTGTATAATGTAAAATTATGGACGCATAATTTAGTTTTATAATAAATTGCACTAGCTTGAAGATACGGGGCTAATTTAACCGATTCCACATCCTGTGTGAACACGTGACAGGCTCCGGACTGTGCAATTCCTTTGTCAGTATCCTTCTCTTTCCTGGCTCGATCTTTCTTCAGAACATGTTGAGAGTATTCTTCATCAGTAATGTTTCCAGTTTTATGACTGCAACAAACGTCGCATTGATCTTTCTTTGGGTGGAATAGGCTAAGATTGAGTTTCAAAAATAATTTGTCAAATAATTTACGGCCAAGGCATTCTCTACCCTCTAATTCACAATTATCTTTATATGCGTGATAGAGCTGTGTCATGTTCGAGAAAATTGGTTCTAAATATTCTCGTGATGTTTTAGCACGACAGTAATGCGACGGCATCTTTGGAAGATCTGCTAAAAACTTTTCAACATGTATGTGGTCTTCAATTTTCCCTGGATTTCTACGATTACTGGTTGAAGTAGACACATCGGGAGGCATAGCACAATCGGTTTTTGTCAACCAATATCTTATAAACCAATCTTTAATTCCAAGAGTGGCCAAGAACATTTTTTTGCAGACTTGGTGACGAACATTATCAATCGTCAAAACGTAAGTTCGACTATCAGTTCTCTTGGATGATTCTGGATTTTTTGTAACTTTCTTCGGTACTTTATTAACGTGAGAAGTTATAAATGATCTTCGCTGCTCCCAGTTCATGTTCTTCCAGAAATTTTCAAATAAATATTTACGCTGTTGCTCGTTTATGTTGTCACATGACCTGAGTTTGGATTTCTTGCAAAACGCAGAAGTGCATGGTGGTTTTATGGATCTTGCAGGCTTAAATACGTCTTGTTTCACTTTAAATGTTTCATTAATCTTTGCTTTTCTGTCTCTTCTGTAACCTAAATAATTTTCACCCTTCATCCGTAATTCTTTATTTATATTGCGTTTATATTTATTTGGATCTTTTGTCGCCTTGTTCTGTCGTTTTTTATGGCTTAACAAATCACCGTGATAAGCAACATTACTGAGTATGACCACTTTTGAAGAACATGATGGAGTAGCAGAGTCGCTGGATTGCTGTATATTGTTTTGGATTGTTTTATTTTCATCTGTGTTAATTACTCTATCCGAAACTGGGTCTTGAGTATTCGTAGTTAAAGCTTCAATGTCAATATTTCCTAGTTCTTGTATAACGTTCTCACATTCTACCGAGATATTGGCTACATTCAATGCAGAAGGCTGAGGATACTCGATGGTCACTGTAGCAAATTCGGGTGGTATATGTTGCAGATCAAAGAAGTCATTACCAACTTTTTCTACAACTTGTAGATTGTGAATGTCAATGTTTTCAATATTATCCAAGTCTATGTTCTGGTCAAATATTGTGTTTACATTATCCTGGCTACTTGTAATACTTTTTATAGACTCCCCGAAGCTTTGATCATTTATTGGTGTTGCAATAGTTTCATATTTATTAGTAGAATTGCATGCTTTAGTGTCAGAAGAATTAATGTTATTTTTTTTATTCAAATCTGAAATAAATAATAGGAATTATTGCATTAAAAACATAAATAACAAAAAATAAACGCGGACCTCATAACAAACCCATAATACTAACCTAGTTTAATTTTTTTTTTATCTTCTTTGCTACTTTGTTTACTCCGTTTAATATGCCTTGACATCAGTCCTGATTCTTGTAATTGGCCAAATAACCATTCATCACCTGAACTAAGATCACTCCAGGAATCTATTTCTTCTCCATCCATAGCGTATTACAATTATTGAGTATCCTAAAAGAAATAAAATACATTTTGAAACACCGCCTAAGTTAAGAAAAAATATTTAGTAAACACCGCCTAAGTAAGTAAAGATATTATTTTATCATTTATTTCTAAATTAATACGCGTAAATTAATAAACATTACTTTATTCTATAGCTTACCTCTTAATCTTCTATTTAAACTTCTTGCATAGACGTTTCAGCTATAAAATTCACATATAAATTGAATAATCACGGAGCGCGAAATATTTTCGCGAGAAAAGTATGACAGACTAACGACTTGGGCGGTGTTGCGACGCCAACTGACTTGAGCGCTGTCACTATTTTTTGAATAACGGCTTTTGATTGGCTGAAATCCGTTTCATGAGACCAATGGTTCGACGCGCAAGGCGCAGCTTCATCCAATGGCATTAAAATGTAAAAACCGCCAATTTTCGACTTGAGCGGTGTTGTTAGCTAAGGGACGATATGCATAGAAAGATAATCATTATTTTACAATGTCACAAAATCGATATCATAAATTAATACGCATTTTTAAAGTTATTTCTAGTATATTCTAGTATTCGCAAATTTTAACATTAACGTTGACTTTAATTAACGGCCGCGACCTAATAAAACACGACAACAATATGTTCTGTTTGCTTTTACCTCTATATAGTGGTTGATTTTAACATAAAATATATCGAATTAATAGGACAAAATAATTGGTTGATGTTGTGAAATAAAACAATGTGTTCTGGTGAAAATATAGTTCAAAATAGGTTGTGGAAATTGCAGTGTTATGATTGTGTTAAGTGTTGTGTCGTAGCGATAGAGAAACATGTCATCACAACACCTCTAACAGACTAAGCACGGGCCAGCGGACGGCAAGCATCATCATCATGGGTAGCTCGCCGCCCAATCAAAACCAGGCCCGAGCGTACGGTGCATCGCGTTCCGCGAGCGCCTCAAAGAGCCATCAGACCACCACAGATGGGGCCCAATAGGGCTGATGCCGATACGGAGCCACGGAGGACTTAACGGGTTGCTGGAGCTCCGGCTCGAAGGGCAGGAATAGGACTCCCTCCCGCCAGCCCAGGCGGGAGAAGCAATTCGATGATTTTCTCCCTTAAAAAAATCAAAACACCTCTCCTCCTTCCGTGGGCCTGAACTGATTAAATTAAGGTAATAAAATTTGTTTTTTTTTATATATTCATCATCAGCATCATCATCATCAACAGCCTATAAGTGGCCACTGCTGACCAAAGGCCTCTTGTCGCATGGAGAAGGTTTGCACAGTAATCACTACGTTTTCTCAACGCTTTGTTTATTATGCATTAGATTTATGAGGGAAGCTGCGAGCATTGTTGTGTCATTTCGTAGCATACTGTCAAAATGTTCTATAAAAGAAGAATATTATTTCATGAACTAGTAGGTAGGGTAACATTGCCTGTTAGCGTCCACTCACTAATTTGCGTCCATGTTACAGAACGCTCTTTAAAAATTCTGGAAAAAAGAAAAGAAATCGTATAAGTAATATTTAGTACACACATCATTAAAATTTATTACACATCAAGGTAAGAAACATGAAAAAGTTAAACAGTTATGGCCACCCATAAAATGGACGCGAACTGGTAGGTGAACGCAAACAGACGAACTTACTTTTCTCTTTCATTATGACATTATTACTTCATAATGCAAAACACGTGTATCTACAAAACTGGTTGAACAATTACTTTAAGCTAATATCTAACCAAATAACCCACTCACTTACAATTGGTACTTATATTATAATTATAAAACACGTGTATGGAAACTTTTTGAACAGAAGCAGAAGTTTAGGAAATTATTGAACTTTCTATGTATATTTAATTACATAACATAATGTCATGCCTTTTATTCCCAAGGTAGGCAGAGGTGTACATTACGGTACTTAACTCGTCGAGTACCGGTTTTGTAGACACAATTATAGAACAATAGGTTGCGGTCACCGGTGACCGCTTGGTGTTTGACAGTTTAATGCCAATGTACAATGTAACACCCACTTTTCACTGTTTATGTTATGAGTCCCATGTAATAGGGGGTGAGCCTATTGCCATAAACCGGGCACAATTCCAGACTCTGTGCTACTACTGAGATTTTTTTTTAAACTCAGTAAGTAATATTTTGCCCTACCCGGGAATTGAATCTGAGATCCCTTACCCCGACAGTCGTACTTGCAACCACTCGGCCCGGAGGCCCGGAGATCATAAGTAAAACGACATACTTATAGGTATATATTTTTTTAATGTAATCAAAATGGTGACATACTAAGCTTTTAAAATAAGAATATTATTTGTTTCAACATAAACTTTCTTCCTATTAAAATAGGCTTTACGTTGTTTTCTTACTAAGTCCTACAGTAAATAACATTCAGCTTAGGTTCGTGTAGAGTTCATTGACCCCACGAAGTAATACCTTTTGTTCAAACTTGTAAATACTTTCCGTTCCTTACTTCCATTCTTCCTATCCATAATATACAAAAGAAACTATTTACGCATATAATTTATTCAATGCTCAGTGGGAAATGGTAAAAATAAAAAACTGCGTTTAATAAAACCGACTTCAAAAACTAAAATCAAACGACACAAAAAATCAATAAAAAATAAGTATCATTGGTCATACGTACTTATAGAAAGAAAGAAAGAAAGAAAGGAAAGAAAAATGGTTTATTTGCACACCGTTATAAAGTACAATAACACACAAAAAAAATTAAACAGTGAAGACGGCGCAAAAAGGCCACAGCTCAGCTTAAATGCCGTGGCCCGATATAGGTATTATAGGTTACACATCCACTGATAGGTAAGAAGTTGATGCTACGAGTTTAAAAGAAAGGTAACATTATTAAGGTTTAATTTTATTATGGAGTGTACCTGTGACCTAAGTTATATTTCGTTATGGGTTTGATGGTTCCTTTTGGAAAGTCGGTTAAAAATAACATTAACGTCATGCCTTTTTACTATCCATAGGATTACTTACAAATGAACATTTAATATAGGTATAAAAAAAACCTATTTAGAGGTATAAAATACTAGCAGCCCGTCCCGGCTTCGCACGGGGTAGACAATTATTTATTTTTGGAAATTTGGATTGGTAGTGACATAACTATGCGGTAGCATATGTCAAACTATTGTAGTTTGACATATGCTACCGCGGAGTTTTTTGTAGACATTATGATGTTCTTCAATATTGTTGTACATTATTTTGTTCTATCGCTAGTAGTTTCGGCAGCGCATTCGACGAAAGACATTTTGAGACTCATTTTTCTACACCTTCGGTTATATTGTTCAAATTTTACCAAGGATCCCTTTTTTTTAAAAAAAGAAATGTAGCCTATGTCAAATTGTAAGAATGTAGCATTCTATTGGTGAAATAATTGTTTAAATCGGCCCAGTACTTTTTGAGCCTATTCATTACAAACATACAAACATTCAAAAATAGGTACAAATCTTTCCTCTTTTAAATATTTGTATAGATTATACCTGTGACCTAAGATATATTTCGTTATGGGTTTGATGGTTCCGCCCTTTTGGAAAGTCAGTTAAAATAACGTTAAGATCATATCTTTGTACTATCCATAGGATTACGTACAAATGAACATTTCATATACGAAAAAACCGTAACGATAAGGGGTAAATCAAACTAAACTAGCATTGTTGCATATCTGCGAGCAAATACTTTCGATACGATTTTGCGACGACGAAAAATACTCTAAATACTTTTTTATTTTTATGGGTTGACTTCAACACAATTCAGGAATCGAACCCATACTGCTATTGCTTCACAATTACAATACGATCAATCAATCAACGAGACAGCCGGTGTAAAGATTCAAATCAAAAACAGACCTGACCTCGTCTAACATCTAATACAAACAGGCAAAATGAATACTTCAGCTCACGTTTCAGAGATTTTAGCCCTAGCAACAAAATATCAACATAAAGGCATAGTTTGAATTCAACACGATTTCCAAATATACAGCTGAAGAAACAAAAGAACTCGGTTCTTCGAGGATGTTCGGAATACTTGATCTTAGATGTGTTTACATTTGTACAGTCTTCAATTGAACTAGAAAAGTATTTTTTTATTTAATAATCATGATCGTCTATTAAAGAAATTGTAACATCTATCGATGACCGTATTGAAATTAAAGACTACCTCAATTAACTAAAAATTGCGAGTTACTCAAGTGAAAATCTTGAGGAAATATCTACTAGTTTCGAGCCACAGAGGGCTCTTCCTTATGAGCAGAGTTCGCAGTCGCGGTGATGTCGCGCAGGCTACACCCGTAAGTATGTCTCACGATCGAGACGACGACGTTTTTTAAAGACTACTTCAATGGGCTTTTAGTAACTGTTGCATTTACAAATGAGATTTGGAAGTACGATTTTGAATTCAAATTGGGAAATGTATTTCTGAACGAGCCGACGGATCACCTGATGGTAAGCAATCGACGTCACCCGTGAACACCTGGAACACCAGAGACGTTATCGACCTTTTGAGGTTTAGGATATTGAGGATAGTTGGGGATTCAAGGATTGGAGAGATTGGGGAAGAGGAGAGGGTAATTGGGCCTCCGGTACCTCACTCACACGACGAAACACAACGCAAGCGTTGCTTCACGTCGGTTTTCTGTGAGGCCGTGGTATCACTCCGGTCGAGCCAGCTCATTTGTGCCGAAGCATGGCTTTTCCACATTAAATACCTTCTTGTCTTGTGTTAATCTTGATCCATATAAGTTGATCATTGTCTCTCAAACACTTAATCTATCTCGACTGCAGTGTAGTGTGACGAATGCTAACGATTACTCCCGAACGACTTCCGAAGTTTCCAAATGTTTGGAGTGTCCAGAGAGTTGTACTAATCATTTGTAAACTGCTGTAACAACTGTTGTCTATTGTTTGTGGTGTCCTTCTACACAATACTATCTTCCAGTATTATGTTTCTCTATTATTTATTGTTTCGTTAGTATTCCTATCTATATCTACCATGAATAAATTGGTGTATGAAAATAAAAATCGAGTTCACGTAAAACATAACTCACCTTTATTCATCAACGTTAAAGACAATGTTCGTACCCCTTCATGCCTTTATTTAATCATATTTACTATCATATTCATTCAAGGTATTTATAAACAAGCTTATACTTAACTACCTAGGCTTTGCCTGCATGTTCCTGTTTTATCCAATGGAAGCATCTATTCGGGATAGAAGTATTAGGATACTTAACATGTATACCAAAATATAGGCAGAGTATGGGCTGACTTAGGACTTACTTAGGTAGGTTTTATCAAAATGTGATAAGTAGTTTCAGCGTGATTGACGGACAAACACACACATTTCATAATATTGGTGTGCTTATTATATTTCTATATTTTCTGTTTCTTCTATGTAAAATAGAAAAACTTAAAAAAAATTGTCGTGGTGGCCCGGAGGTTTAAGACGCCC